GTACACGGAAATGCGGTCCAGCTGCAGGTCACTGTCCCCGTGGTACGTGCCGGTGGGGTCGATGCCATGCTCATCGCTGATCACCTCCCAAAACTGCGGAGAGAGCGCACTGAGCGCTTGGCAGCCAGCCACACACTTGCCCTGGCACACTCAGGAAACCCGCAGCTCTCGCGGCGCGGGACTCCAGCAGGTGTACCACCAGCAGCCGAGTACACGCAGACATCCCGATGGGTAACACCCCCCTACGATCCTCTCGCTGGGAGAGAACCTGCCTCAGCGTGGGCACCAAGCGCGCGCGGCGGAAAGGCGCGGCCGCCGCACAGACCACGCCTGCAGTCACGTGACTGCGGCGAGGCGGCCCCGCCCAGGCGGAGGAGACACGCGGGGGCGGAGCCACATTCCCGGGGGCGGAGCGCCCGCCGGCCCCGCCCCCGGGCCGCCCGCCGCGGCTACTACGTAGCGGCCGCACTTCCTCCCGCTACATCGTAGCGGCGCGCGAAGGGGGGGGGGATCCCCATGGCCTCAAAATTGTTCCCTTCCCCAGCGTCTCCCTTCGCTGGCTTTCTCCCACACCAAAGGGGAGGGACCCACTAAAAAGGGCTCATCCTCTCTTCGCTTTTCCTGTCCTTGTTCTAAAACAGTCCTCGTAAGGAGCAATGAGAAAAGTCCAATTAACCCCCCATTCTTCGCGCCACAAAAGGCTGCAGGAACGCCCCTCGGGAGCCGAGGCCGCGCGGGGCGCCGGTCCTTTGTGCGCGTGGGGACCCACGACCTGGGGCCCCAGCTCTGCTCGGGAGCTGGGCGCCGGGCCTCGCCCCTTCCCCCTCTGCTGGGCGCCCCCGAGCCGGCCGGGCGGGGCAGGGGATGCACATGGAGACTTCGCTGGCTTTGTCTCCGGCAGCTTCCTGCCGGCCCAGACCGTTAGGCGACCCCTCCGAGCCCGAGGATAGCTGCTCCAAAACGTGCTGCGGTGAAAAATAACTCCCCTTTGTTCCAAACCAGGTGCTGGCTACAAATGATTATATTCACATGTGAAAAACTTTGGGGGAGCTTAAGAATGGGCTGCAAACGCCCCACAATTATTCTACCTATCTAAACATGGGTTTTTTATTCCAAGAAAAAATATAAGTGAAAGAGAGGCTTTTGTCTTACCTTAGCACCGATCTGGTTGCCACACTGACCGGCCTGGATGTGCACGATTTCCCTCATGGTCAAAAATTAACTTGTTTTGCTCGCCTCCAGGAATGTATGGGGCAAGAAAATATGTAGGCTTTTTTCCTTTGCTGGTCCCGGGTTCGAAGGACGGAACGTGCCCCGCAGGCTGGAGCAGCGAGATGCGAACGCGACGGCAGGAAGATTCTGAGAGGCAGAGCAGAGGGGAGGGCGAAGGAGGGAAGGCGGGCAGGGCGGGGCGCGCGTGCGCGGGACTCGGAGGCGGGAGATCGGCGCCCGCGCCGGGGTCCGCAGACAAAGCCTCCCTAAGCCGCATCTTGATTGGTCAGCGCTGGTCATGTACCGGGCACCCATTGGTCGCCTCGCACCGGATGAGCGCAGTCCTCTCTGGGAGTTGTAGTCCTCTATTGTTGTCCACGCTGTAAAATGAACTTGGGAATGGGTGGGTACTGGATTTTTTCTTTTTTGTCGTTTTCTCGTTTTTTAATGAAAAGTGAATATGGAGAAAATTGCTTTGCCCTACGTAGAGTTTTTTTTTCTTTTTGTTAATTTTGAAGCACAAAAGGTTTGGGCTATGGAGAAATTGGGAAGTGTGAAATACCGAGAGTTGGGAGGTGGGGTAGGCACGCCCTGAAAACTCCCTGCTGAGGAAACTAGGAAGGACACTGCAGCTTAGATCAGCGAAAATGGGACAAGTGTGGCACTCTGCTCTGGTCCTTTGGTGACCCACGGTATGAACTTCAGTGAAAAGTGGATCCTTCCGTCTCTCCCCCCCCATACTTCTGGAAGAAGGAAGCAATTGTCCTCTAATTGCTTTAAAGGTTTTTGAGTGATACAGTTTCAAAAAAGAAACAAAATGGCATCAAGGGCTTTTCAAAATAGAGCTGTCTGCAGGATTTGTTCAAAAGGTGAGTTATTTTAAAGCCTAGATCTAGAATCTGAAGCCAGATGTCTGTGCTTTTAGGGACGCTGGACCTGAGGATCAGTGTCAAAATCATGCGGTCATCTCGTCAGAAGGGAAAGATGGACATGAGATGCCTGCTCTTTCAGATACTTTGCTGAGGCCAGTAGCTTTTCAGTTAGCTTCCAGTGAGACTGGGCGTGGTGGCGTGCTCCTGTAATCCCAGCTCTTGGGAGGCTGGATCACTAGGAATCTGATCTAGTAGTATTGCAGGCAGCCAAGTTAGACAGAAATATTACAGGCAGTCAGACAGGGCCAGGCCCTCAAGGAGACAGCACAGAAGATGAGATGCCTTACAACTGTGGGAGGGGCAGAAGCCCCTGCTATGAACCAGCACTAAAGACCTAAAGGCCAAACAAATGCTAAACGAGTAGCACCTGGGATTGATATTCTAAATAGGTATCGATCACCTGGAAAGACCCAAGTGAGTCACTAGCCCAACCCCCAACAGAAAGAGACCCTATCCCTCATTCCAACCCCCAACAGGAAAATACCCTGTCCCATATGTAATCCCATTGGTTGACCATAGTTTTGTCCCACCTCCTGCCCACCTAAGCGAGTTCCCATTCTCTCTACCTTAGCCTCACATGGTTTTACACTATAAAAGTCCCTGAAAGAGACAGCTTCTTGGGGAACTGCCCGCTCGGGCCCCCCTCCTGTCCCTCTCTTGGACAGAAGCTTTCTTTCTCTCAATAAATATATTCTGCTCATAACCTCCGTTTGTTCCTAAAATTCATTCTTCGGTTTTAGAGAACATGAACTCATGCAGGTCAGGTCCAGAGATCATTTTTCTCTGTCATTTGGAGGTTCCCTATATGGTTTGGAGGTCACCCACCCGAAACCAGTTTTTCTCCCTGTATCATTTGTGAGACCCTGAACACCCTGTAGACCCTTCCCCAAAATACAAAAAGAAAAAAAGCTTTTATTGACCAGGAGTGGCCAAGGTAGGTAGTGTCAGGATTGAAGGGGCTGGGGAGATGGCTCAGTAGAATAAGTGCTTCCCTGGCAAGCTCAAGGGCCTGAGTTCAATCCCCGGTTCCACCAAAAATAAAAAAGGATTGAAGGAGAGGAGGGACTAAATTGAATGAGAATTGCCTCTCCTTCCCAGGAATTAACTCATTTTGAAGATACTAAGTGGCCTACCAAAGCAGTAACCAGGAACACTTAGCTCCTTGGCTTCTAGGATATTGCAGTTTATTGAGAAAAGAATAAATAATGGAGTAGTGCTAAGCACTGTAATACATGTTATCGAGGTTATTAATACTAAATTAAGGGCCAGGGAGATGGCTCAGTGGAATAAGCGCTTCCCTGGCAAGCGCAACATCTGGTCTTTTGGTGACCCACGACATGAACTTAAGAGTGGAGCCTTCAATCCCTGGTTCTGCCAAGACAAAACAAAACAAAAACCTAAATTGATACACAGATAAATTCACATTTGTAAGTCACCTAAAGAAAGGAACATCTAGCTGTATAAGACCCCTACACTCATTTTTTTTTTTTTTTTTTCCCAAACAGGGGATTGAACTCAGGCCCTGCGCTTACTCTACTGAGCTGTCTCCCCAGCCCCCCATACTCATTTTAAGTAGGATCTTTTGTGTTTCATACTCACAATGAAAGTAGTCATATATTACAGGGAAAGCTCAGATGATTTATTTCAGTTTGTCTCTATCTTACATTAGCCATAAGAACCTACATATTTAATTTCTCACAGTTTCAAGTATCAGCTTATTTGGCTGTTGTGGGAATAGTTGAGATAACCACTGGGAAAGGGCTTCCTATATACACATCACATTCTTACCATTCTTACGTCTTATTTATGAAATAACGATTTTATCATTCTTTCCTCATCCTTTGAAAGGTAAGGACTTTTACCAACCCTGTTTTCTGTTTGCCCACAAATATTTTCTTTACGATCGTCCGTTTAGGTAAAATGACCTCAAAATGTCCGTCAGGGCTATGTCTCAGGAAGAAATGACATGATTTCTACTAAACAAGCCAAATCAAAGCGAAATGAAATTCCACTGCAACGAGGAGTCCTCAAGCGCCACGCCTACGGGCTGTTTTCCAAACTGCAGCCTCTAGCCACGACTGCAACCGGCAACCCGTTTTCATTTCTCATGAGTCAGCGAACACCATGTCTTGGAGGACCGAAGAAGGGCGCTCTGGCCACACCAGACGCTGCGCACGACATCTATGGTACAACCCTTCTAGCAACGCTCAACTCCCGGCGCCAGACTCTCTGGTCGCGGTTTGGAAATCTGCGCGGGAAGTGGGTGTTGGGCGGTGAAGCGGTGGTGGGTTGTCCTTGGAGTTGACCAATCACGATTCGCTGCGGTCAACGGATCTTCTCCCGGAGTAGCCCTGACTTCGAGAGGAAGGGGGCGGGGCGGGACGGGACGAGATTTTGAATGTGCCTGGACTCCTGAAGGTTCACCAATCAGCGCACAGCAAGCTGTGACAGACAGGGACGGAAGCCAACCAGCGAGTCGGTTCCGTTCCGAGCTAAGCGCTCGCGCTCCCCTGGTGGCGACCGTTACTGCTGGCGCGCGCGGAGACTCAAATAGGTGAGCTCTGGGCCCTCACCCACAGTTCCTTCGGTACCGTCTCGACTCCCCCAGAGGGCGGGAAGGGGGCGTGCCTTGGGTACGACTGGGCGGAGGTAATTTGGAAATTTACGTTGGAAACGAGCTTTTCAGATTATGATGGTCGTCCGTACCTGGCGCCGGGAGCCCTGTGCTTCCGGGAAGGAGGACCCGGGGAGACCTGGGCCACGAGGGACCCCGCTGGAACGTGGGCATCCAAGTTGGTGGCCTTTGAATTGAGGCCGAGAGTGTGGGCTCCCCCTGAGTTGGCGCGACAGAAGGGCAGAGGTGACGCTTTCTCTGTGGGGGTGCCCCACTTTCCTTGTCCGTAGTTTCCTTCTAGGGCAGCCTCTTTCCAGATACATTCCACCCGTGCTGTTTGGGGTTTTCTTTCATTTGTTTTTTCACCAGAAGGCTTGGTGATGTGCCCTTCATGAAGGCCAGATTCATTTTGTGTTTGGTTCTAGATGTATCCCCAGTACCTCCAACCCTACGAGGTGCACCCTAACCACTGGAAAATGAATATAACGGACCCTGGGGGGAAGTCAGCCCTGGGGTCCGAGCCTGGAGGTGGGGTGTAAAAGATAAAAGCTTAGAGCAGAGAGGTTCTATCTGAGTTTGGTTTTTATTTTACACTGTGGGCATAGAAAGCCGTAAGGACATTCCGTTATTTATTTATTTTGCGTGTGTGTGTGTGGTACCTGGGATCAAACTCAGGACCTTACACTTGCCAGCAGGTGCTTAAACCTGAGCTCTCTCCAGCCTGTCCTAAGGACATTGGACAGGTTAGAGACTGTCTGGATGATTTTGGCTGCGTCCCTTCACCCATCTACGTTGGGGAGTCTTTATTTGGAAAAGTAAAGAATGACACCTACTTTACAAGGTTCTTGAAAGATTAATGAGTCAGTTCAAGTCCAAAAATTTGACATTCATTCAAATTTTTATTTACTACAGGATCTTGCTATGCAGTTTATACTCAGTGATTCTCCTGTTTCAGCCTCCCCAGCCCTGGGACTACAGGGATGCACCACCATGACCAGTTTCCGGGCTGGCTTTGCTTGCAGTACTGGGGATCAAACTCCGGTGTTTGTGCTTGCCAGGCAGGCACTTAGACCACTGAGCTATGTCCTCAGCCCTCATTTGAATTTTTAAAAGGGCTGGGAACATGTAGCTCCATTGAAAATGTCCTGAGTTCACTCCCTAAAATGGATGAGAGGTTGGTATAGATTAGTGTTCAACACATTAGAACCTGTATATATGGTTATATTTATTTATTTATTTATTTATTTATGTTTTTGTTTTTGGCAGAACCGGGGATTGAACTGAGGCCCTTGCACTTGCTAGGGAAGTGCTTATTCCACTGAGCCATCTCCTTAGCTCCTATATGGTCATATATTATGGTTCTTTGTGCTTTAGCCTGATTAGACTGAGGTGGTCTGGTAAAATGTGTGGGTATTACAGCTAGCAGTGTGAATATTACACTATAGCTACATCCCTGTTGCATTAGCCTAGTGTTTTTAGCACTGGTTTCCTAAATGCCCAATTGTGGCAATTGTGCTTGGTGTGTGTGAGCAAAATTGGGAGAGGGAGTTCCTTTGTTCAGTTTGAACGGGGGTCTCACCATGTTGCTTTGTTTAGTTTGACCGGCGGGGTCTCACCATATAATTCAGGCTGGCCTTGGGCTCAGTGTGACCCTATGGCCTTGGACTGACAGCAAGCCAGCAGCTCCCAAGTGCTGGAATTATAAGCATGAGTCACCAGGTCTGGCTGAAGATGGTGTTTGTCAAACTATGGCTTGTAACCCAGTAATGGGTAGGTAGTAAAGTTAATGTAGTAGGCTGCAAGTTAGCATGTAAAAACTAGAGAGAATGGATAATATTGTACATAGCAGAGTTTTTTAAAAAAACTTTTGTTTGCCAGGCATGGTGGCATACACATGCCTATGGTCCCAGCACTCAGACAGCTGAGCCAGGAAGATTGCTGTGAGTTAGAGGCCAGCCTGGGCTACATAGTGAAACCTTACCTGAAAAATAACCAAAAAGCCTTCCCCCAACCTTTTTTTAAAAAAATTGTTTGTAGTTCTGGGGATTAAACCCAGAACTTTGTGGATGCTAGGCCAGTCCAAACATTTTGAGACAGCGTCTTGCTGTGCTCGTGCTGGCCTAGAGCTCCTGGGCTCACATGGCCCTCCTGCCTCAGCCCTCCAAATAAATGCAGCTGCAGGCATGTGCTACCAAGACTGACTTTTTTTTTTTTTTTAATCAGGAATCAAACTCAGAACCTTGTGCTTGCCAGGCAGGTGCTATATCCCCAGCCTCAAGCCTGGCTTTCAAATATTCTATTCATTTTTTTTTTTTTTTTTAAATTTTGTGGGGAGATTGAGGTAGAGTCTGGCTATATAATTCAGGCTGGATTTGAATTCACTGTGTATGTAGCCCAAGCTGGCCTCGAACTCAGAGATCTTCCCTCAGTCTCCCAAGTGCTGAGATTACAGGTGTGCGCCCACATACCTAGGTTTTTTTTTTTTTTTTTTTTTTTTTTAGATAGGCTGATTTGAACTCGCTGTGTAGTCTAGGCTATCTATGAACTTGTAGCACTCCTGCTGCAGCTTCCTGAGTGCTAGGATTATGGCATGCATAACCATACCTGGATTTTTTTTGGGGGGGGGCTGGCTCAGAATGCCTTGAGGGCATGTTTGGCTGGCTTGTGTTGTGGGGATCGAACCACAGCAACCTGAGACTGACTGCTTTGTTGAAGCAGCCACTTAAACAACTGAGCTAAGGGGCAGGCCCCATGCATAACCATACCTGGCTTCAAATTTTTTAAAAAATATTTCAGGAGCATAATAGAATAACTGATGGAAAGAGAAATGTCAACTTCTGTCACTCCCGAGGTTTACTCTAGGTACCATCCTCCTCGGACACCGTGTATGCAAACGAGTGACATTGATGATGGTGACGTGTTTCTTTTCCAGGCCATGGAAGACACCCAGACCATTGACTGGGATATTGAACAAGAGGAGGAGATAGAGCGATCCAGTGAATCCTCGGGGTGTGGCACGGATCCTGTAGGGCGACTGCGTGTGTTCAGTGGTACCTATGGACCAGAAAAAGGTCAGGTGGTTAGCTCCAGAACGGTTAGGTGTGTCTTTTTTTCGTGGATGGTATTAGAAGAAACACACTTTAAGGAAATCTGAAAACTGTTTTTACTGGGCTAGAGAAGGTGGCAGGGTAGGGCAACTGAGTTGATTGTTCCAGGCTAGAGTCCTGAACTCACTGATTTGTACTCTGAAAGCACAACGCGAAGAGATCCAGTGTGGTCTGAAATTGGGTTGTGGCCATGGTTGTACATTGCATACATAATACCACTGAACCTTATATTTAAGGTGATTAAAATGGAGCTTGAGGGCTGGGGAGATGGCTCAGTAGAATAAGTGCTTCCCTGGCAAGCGCAAGGGCCTGAGTTCAAACCCGGTTCCGCCAATAAATAAATAAATTAATTAAATAAAATGGAGCTAGGTATGGTGATGTGTACCCATAATCCTGGCACTCTAGGAGGCTGCAGCAAGATGATCACAAGTTCAGTTCTAGCATGGGCAACTTAGTAACTTAGCAGGACACTGTCTCAAAATAAAAACTAAGGGCTGGGGTGATAGCTTGGCGGTCTAAGTGCCTGCTTGATAGATGTAAGGACCCAGGTTCAATTCCTGGTACCCCATGCTGCACTGGCCCCAAAACCTTTGGTGCTTTGGGCCAGCCACCAAAACCAGGCATGGTGGTGCAGGCCTGTAATCCCAGCAATGGGGAGATTGAGGCAGGAGGATCACTGTAAGTCCAAGTGCATAGGGAGACCTGGTACCAAATAAATCAATAAACATTTAAAATAATTAAAAAGGGCCTGGGTTGTACCTCAGTGTGAAGGCCCTGGGTTCACTCCCTAGTACCACACACAAACACAAGTGTCATATATGTCTTACTACAATTAAAAGATCAAGTGTGAATGGCCAGGTATTGTCCATGAATTGTTTATGCCTAGATGCCTTAGAGTTTTCTATTGTTATAGTGCTTGGGTCATCTTAAAGACCTTGCATGCTCTCAACTACTCTCATTTTTAGATTTTCCACTGTACCTCGGGAAGAATGTGGTAGGCCGAATGCCCGACTGCTCTGTGGCCCTGCCTTTTCCATCCATTTCCAAACAACATGCAGTGATTGAAATCTCAGCGCGGGACAGGGCACCTATTCTTCAGGATTGTGGGAGTCTCAATGGTACCCAGATCCTAAGGCCACCTAAGGTCCTGAGCCCTGGGATGAGTCATCGTCTGAGGAACCATGAACTGATCCTCTTCGCTGACTTGCCCTGCCAGTACCGTTACCTGGATGTACCCCTGCCTGTGGTTTCCCGGGCACCTCTCACTGTAGAGGAGACCCCGAGGGTCCCTGGAGATACTCACGCTACCAGGCTTCCACTGGCTGAGGACTCAGAGGAAGAGTCAGGTATGTGTGTATGTTGGGAGGGTATGTGACGGGTAATGAGTGTATAATTGTCCATTTACTCCTTCCTGTTCCTGCCAGATTTTCTTCATGAAAGGTGCGTGGGGAAAGAATCAAGGGCCATCACGTCTTCCCCGTTGACAACAGTAGTTCCTGAAAGGTGAGCACCGCAAGGCTGGACTCCTAAGTCTTGGCAGGCAGGAAGACCTGGGGCCTGGAAGGTCAGTCTCTCAGGGATGATGATATCTTGAGAAGTAGGGCTGGGAAGCAGTATATAGCATTCATTCACTGAGCTGTTTTGGTTTGGTTTGGTTTGGGTTTATTGTTGGAACCAGAGATTGAACTCAGGCCCTTGACTTGCCAGGCAAACGCTTATTCTAGTGAGCTCTCTCCCCAGCCCCTGTTTTGTTTTTACTGAGCTGGTTTTGGGGAGATTTTTCTTCCTAGTACTGGGGACTGAAGCCAAAGCTTTTTTAATTTTTTATTTATTTTTTTGCGGAACCGGAGATTGAAGTCAGGCCCTTGCGCTTGCCAGGCAAGTGCTTATTCTTCTGAGCCATCTCCCCCTCCCCCAAAGCTTTTGAAGTAGGCTATATTCCCAGTGTTTTCTTTTTGTGTGTTTGTTTTTTGTTTTTGGTGGAACTGGGGATTGAACTCAGGCCCTTGTGCTTGCCAGGCAAGCACTTACTCCACTGAGCCATCTCCCCAGCCCCTGTGTGTTTGTTTTTTCAGACAGCGTCTTTTAAGTCCCTAAATCACCCTGGCTGTGCTCGAAATTGTAATCCTCTAGCCTTAGCCTCCCAGGGCACTGGAATTATAGGTGTGCTGTACTGATGTACTCAGTTTCTGCTGCTTTGCTTGTTTGTTTGAGCCAGGGTCTCCCTCTGTAATTTAGGCTGGCCTCAAGTTTTCTGTGTAGCTGGGGAGATGGCTCAGTAGAATAAGTGCTTCTCTGGCAAACACAAGGGCCTGAGTTCAATCTCTGGTTCTGCCAAAAAAAATTCGCTGTGTAGCCCAGTCTGACCTCAGATTCCTGGGAATTCTCCTGCCTCAGCCTCCCTAGTGCTGGGATCCTAGGTATGCAGCACCATGCCCAGCCCTGAGCTGCATTTTTATGGAGCACCTCTGATATACCAAGTGGAGAACTAACTGTGGCAGCTGGAAAGACATTTGGCTTGCGCCTGCCCTCAGGAAGCTCTCAGTGGAGTGTGTTGTCCCTTCCTAGGAAGCAGGTGCTACTGACTCTTTTTTTTTTTTGCAGAACTGGGGATTGAATTCAAGACCTTGTGCTTGCCAGGCAAGCACTTATTCTATTGAGCTGTCTCCCCAGCCCATTACTGACTCTTTCTAATCCCTTTGCAGTGATGACGAGGGGCCAGGTGGCTCTGGACCATCTCTGGCTTTCAACATGGACAGTGACACAGATGGTGGCGAAGCAGGGGAGGCCCCTCCAGCAGTGAGGAGCAGCGCCATAACAGAGGCAGAACAGTCTGGAGGTGATGGGGTTCTGCAGGACACTCTGCTTGTAGAGGCGCTGCCTGCAGGGGATAGGGACGGAGACACAGACGTCAGGAAGAATGCAGGGAACAAGTTGGCTCTGGAGAGGAGCCACCTTATCGGGCAGGACAGTGACACTGATGTGGAGGAAAAGGGCATCGCTGAGACCCCAGCTGCAGTTCTCGGGAGAGAGGGGCTGCCCTTCCCTACAGGAGGTGCTGAGGACCCTAGCACCCTTGGCGTGGCACGTCTGCAGGAGAGCCTAGCTGGTAGTGACATGGATGTGGCAGAGCAGAAGTCCCCAGCAGCAGGAATCCAGACCCCCATGGTGATCAACAGTGACACAGATGATGAGGAAGAAGTCTCGGCGGCGCTCACCTTGGCGCGCCTGAAGGAGGGCGGAGCTGCTCTGTGGGACAGAGACCCAGATGGAGGAGCAGCCAGAGCCCTGCCTGTGGCCTTAGGGCGGAGTACACCCGCCTCGGGGAGAGACAGCGACACGGACCTGGACACAGACACAGAGGCGGGGGAGCTCCCAGGGGAAAAGAGGGAAACTCTCCCCAGTGTTTGTACAGAAAAGACTGAGCATCTTGTCACAGCACAGTCAGGAAAAAGACATCCCTGTGGGGATAGTGAGGCAGGCAAGGAAGCAGGTAGGTGCTCCCATGGGACCCACCCAGAGAGAAGCAGAGCCTCCCTGGCCACAGTGAACGTTAAGACAGAGGCAGAGGAGGAAGTCCCACCAGGGCCAGCTGCTACACATCTGGAGAGCCAGCAGGTACCTGTGGAGGAGACAAATCAAGCCTGTCCTGACAAAGTGGACATCAAGGAAAACACAGCCTCAGCAGTGGCAGCTGTGAGACAAAGGCAGCTTGTGGCTACAGGGGGTGCTCAGAAAAGGGCTCCAGAAATGGGGGCCCCAGGCAGGGTATCTGCGGCACAAGGGGAACGGGTGGTGCACACAGGCACCCCAGGAGGCCCCACTCCACCCCAGAGAAGGCGAGCACAGACCCATGCAGGAAGGAGGAAGAAGTCCTATTTGGCCCGGACCAGGGGCTCTAAAGACAGCTCTGACGGTAAGCCCTACCCTTGCTTCCTCCCTGGCCTCAGGAACGCATGGCAGGTGTGAGAGTGGACATGGAGGAGCCAAGCGTCAGGCATTGTTTTTTCTTGTCTCTTATGTACCACACCCTAGCAGGCTGTGACGATCTGGACCTTCAAGCCACCCAGTGCTTCGTGGAGAGTGAGAGCCTAGAAGGTGGGGACTCCTGCGCATTGGGTTCCTGGTGGTGTGGGCATAGAGATGAGGCTGGGGTCCCCAGCATGAGGGGCTGAGGGCAGCCTCGGCTGGCACAGGCCCGGGCTGTGTGAGGAGCAGTGCTCAGCTGTCCTTCCTTGTGCAGCTGTCCCAGATGTGGAGGATGAACCCACCCAGGTCTTCCCATGTGAGCTCCCCTCAGAGCCTGGTCCTCCCCACCAAAGCCCTCAGGCCCCAGGTACAAGAAGCTCTGCTTCAAATTCTGCATCCTTTCTTGTTTTCTTATCTCATTAGAAAAAAAAGTCCTCATTAAGTCTCCCTCTCTCTTTCCCCTCCTATCTGACTGTGTCTTCATTCAGGTGCACTGGATGAGCCATGGGAAGTCTTGGCTACACAGCCCTTCTGTGTGGCAAAGTCTGAGCGCCCCGAGCCCCTGCCCACAGCCACCCTCCCAGAGGCCTTTGGATCTCATCTGTCTCCACCGAGAGTGATGCCACCAGACCAGTGTCCAGGGAGTCCAGCTCACACGGAGCCCTTGGAGACCAAAGGCACAGGGCTGCAGACTGTGGAGAGAGACAGGGGTACAGCAGGAGAAACAGCGGAGAGGGTGACCCCAGAGAGAGGGACATCAGAGAGGGACATCAAGGCGCAGCCACCAAAAGACAGCACAGATGAGTTGGAGGAGGAAAAGTTAACTAGGAGGCTGAAGGACAGAGAGCAGAAGACGCAGGAGTTAGCTGGAGCCCCTCAGAGGCCAGAGTGACAGCAAGGTGGACAGTGTGAGTCCTGAAAGGGCCAGGGAGTCTGGAGGAAGTAGAAACCTCCAAGGACACAAGAGAGAGTGACACGCAAAGGGAGACCCTCGGGGCCGGGGAGATGGCTCAGTACAATAAGCGCTTGCCTGGCAAGCGCAAGGGTGTCAGTTCAATCCCCGGTTCCACAAAAAAAAAAGGGAGACCCTCAAGAGGGAAGCCTTGGAAGGAGTCACAGAGAAGTGGGTGCCAGACACAGAGAGTGGGGTCAGTGAGGGCAGGGGAACAAGGGGAGCCCTGGGGGTACAACCGTTAGAATAATCCCTGAGCTCCTAACTTCGTAGAACTCAACACCCCTCTGTTTCTCTGTCCAGGCCACGCTGATGGCAGGATGCCACCTGCTGAGAGTGCTTCTGGGGTGAGAGCTGCTTTCTAGAGAGCCCCTGTCCACGGGTCACCCTCTACCCCCTCCAGCACCTATCCTTGCCCCACTTCGGTCTACTACTGTCCCCACACCCTCTGTTCTCCATCTTCAGTTTTTAGCTGGCCTCTGTCCCTTTGTGCCGGGCACCCAGTTTTCTGTGGTGGGTCTCATCAGTAGCTCTCCTGCCTGGGTCAATGTTGTGTCACTCCTCTCCTTTGGCAGCACCAAGTGTGGAGAGCACTGTGCTGGTGTCAGGTAGAGAAGGCTGGGGATGGACAGAGGATGGGGCAGGCCTGCCGCTCCTGACTCCTGGTCTGATGAGAGATGGGTTGCAAGCAGCAGAGTGCCTGGCGCCTGGGCTGAAGCTCAGGCTTGGAATGGCACCTGCTTCCCACCTCTTTCTTGACAATGCTCACTTGCTTTTCTCTGCAGGATGACCTGGAGTCTCCAGATGCAGTGCCCAAAGCCTTGGCCCCAAGCCCAGGACCCCATACCTCTCAGAGCCGAAAACAGTCAGCACCTCAGGCCCTTCTTCCTCGCCTTCTGTCTTCCTCGCCACCTGTTCCTAGGGCTGGGCACACTGGGGCGCAGGACCCTCCAGGGCCTGCCCAGTCTTCAGGGCTGGAGCCCCAGCCCAGTGCCAGGCGCTGGCCCTCCCGCAGGACGCCACCCACGCCACTTCCTTCTGCTGCCCATGCACACTGCCTTCCTCCTGCCTCTGAGCCTGTGGCTCAGCCCTGTCTGGCCAGGACACGGAGATCCTCCATCAAGACACCTGAAGTAGATGAGCCAGCAGCCCCTGAACTGCAGCTGTCTACCTCCACAGACCACCACCCAGTTGTCCCCAAGACTACACCTCGGGCCACGAGGGGCAGGACAGATAGGTCCTCTGTGAAGACATCTGTGCCAGTTGTCCAGATGGCCCCTGAGCTGCAGCCATCCATGTCCACACACCAGCCTGACAGCCCAGAACCCACACCTCGGACCACCCGGAGCAGGGCAAACAGGTCCTCTGTTGAGACTCCTGAAGTGGCTGTCCATGTGACTCCTGAGCTCCAGCTTTCCATTACCATAGACCAGTCTATTGTCCCCAAGACCATGCCTCGGGCCATAGGGAACAGGAAAGATAGGTCCTCTGTGAAGACTCCTGGAGTAGCTGCCCACACGGCCCTCGAGCTGCAGCCATCCACCTCCGTGCAGCAGCCTGTCACTGCCAAGCCTGTTCCTCGGGCCACTCGGCGCCAGACATCAAAGTCCTCCAGTAAGACTATTGAACCAATTGAGCTGTCAGCCACAGACCTCGAGCCTCCCGCCCTCATGGCCCAGCCTGTCAACCTCAAGACCATAGCTCAGGGCAGGTTGTCCTCTGAGTCCCAGCCTCCTGTCACCACAGACCAGACTGTTACCCAGGAGCCTGACAATCAAGCCAGCTATAGCAGGACACAGAGAGCTGCTGGGAAGCGCAGCTCCCACTCAGCTCCCACTGCGCACCAGCTGTGCTCTGAACCTCAAGGTCTATCCTCAGGGGACCAAATAGCAGGCCGGACCAGAGCAGCTGCATCTCTTAGGACTGTCCCTGACCCTTGTTTTCCCCAGCCTCCTGAGGCACCCACTTGTGCTTCCCGAATCCCAAAGGTGGAGGCAGCAGATAGCTCTGGGCCCACCCAACAACTCCAGCCTGCAGTATCTCCACAGTACAAGAGGCCTTCCCCCAGCACAGATTCACCCCCTCTTCTAAAGCGACCCCAAAGAGGAACTTCTCAGAAAACGGTGTTCCCCAAGAAAGAAAAGGATACTGCAGAGAGGCCAGGGAAGGCAGAGGTGAGAGACTGAGCCATGCTGGGAGCAGGAGCCACTGGACCCGGAGACGCCCATTAATGTGTTTTCTCCTTCCCAGGACACATGGACTCCAGGACCAGGCAAGAGGAAGAGGACCCAGATGGAGGAGGAGCTCCAAGAAGTGCCAAGGCGTGGCCTGCGAAGGAACAAACCTACCCTGCAGTCAGCAGCCCCCAAAGTAGGAGAAGGGTCTGGGGCTCCGGGAGACGGGGCGTGGACAGGGTAGGTCTGCACTGTGGCCAGGGTCACTGACAGCGCAGACCACCTCCACCAGGTCCTCTTCACGGGAGTGTTGGACGCCCGTGGGGAGCAGGCTGTGCTGGCCCTGGGCGGCAGCCTGGCCAGCTCGGTGGCAGAGGCGTCCCACTTGGTCACTGATCGCATCTGCCGGACAGTCAAGTTCCTGTGTGCCCTGGGTAAGGGCATCCCTGTCCTCTCCCTCGAGTGGCTGCAGCAGGTGAGCTGCCAGGGTGGTGACTTAGCAGTTTTGCACACACAGTGGGTATAGAAGGAGAGCAGGAGAGCTGTGGGGTTAGTGAGACATGGGCCATGAGGAGGTAGCGTGTGACAGTGCTCTGTAAGTGCTGGGCAGGAGTGTTGGGGCGGTGATGGGCCCTGCTGCTAACTGCTGCTCTTCGTCAGTCCCGCAAAGCTGGTCACTTCCTGCCCCCGGATCAGTTTGTGGTGACCGATCCTGAACAGGAGAAGAACTTTGGCTTCAGCCTCCGGGATGCCCTGAGTCGCGCTCAGGAGCGAAGGCTGCTAGAGGTAGAGCCCTTCTGCGGCCCGTTGCATCTGGCCTGGGGGTCTCAGGCGCTGGCGTCCTGTGCAGTCACCACCTGTCGCGCATCTCCCTTAGGGCTATGAGATTCACGTAACGCCTGGGGTCCGGCCCCCACCTCTGCAGATGGGAGAGATCATCAGCTGCTGCGGAGGCACTGTGCTGCCCAGCATGCCCCGCTCCTATAAGGTATGGCTGGTGTCTGTGGCCCCGGAAGGGCAGCTAAGGAGATGCCAGAGGGAGAAAAGAGTGGGGAAAATGCGAGGCTGCTGCTAAGTATGATGGCTCAAGCCTGTAATCCCAACAGCCCTTGGCTGAAGCAGGAGAGTGACAAGTTTTAGGCCATCCTGAGCTACAGAGCAAGATCCTATCTAAAAAAGGAAAAGAGGGGACAGTGAGATAGCTCAGTGGGATAAAGCGCCTGCTTGGGCAACTACAGGGGCTGCTGTTGGATCCCTGGTACCACATGCCACACCAGCCCTGCCTCCAGGGTGGGCTGAGCCAGCCACAGAGTCCAGATGTAGTGGCGTGTACCTGTAATCCCAGCGCTGGGGAGGCAGAAAACAGGAGGATCGCTGAGTCCAAGCTGCGAAGTGAGACCTGAGTAAAATAAAAACATCTTCCGTAAAGCCCACGCACTGCTGCGTTTCTAGTGTCTCCTGTGCTGCTTCTTACTCTAGACTGTAGCAAAGCCCTACTCATTCTTGCTTCCTTTTTTTTTTTTTTTCCTTTTCAGGCAGGGTCTCACTATGCAGTACATGCTGGTCTTTAAAGTCACTTTGTAGGGGCGGGGGAGATGGCTCAGTGGAATAAGCGCTTACCTGGCAAGTGCAAAGGCCTGGGTTCCGCCAAAAAAAAAAAAAAAGATAAAGTCACTTTGTACTCCTGGATAGCCTCAGACACACAGTGATCCTCCCGCCTCAGCCTCTCGAGTTCTGGCATTACACTTGCGTGCCACCACACTTAGCTGAATACATTCTGGTTCAGCTTCTCTGGCAAGAGTGACTCGTGGACTGCAGTGGGCTTTGTGCGGCTTCTCCCTGGGCAGCACTGAGACTGATCACTAAGGCAGCTGTTTCTAGGACCCCTTCTTACCCCAGACTTCCTCTGCTGTCTCCCCAGCCCCGGAGAGTGGTGATCACGTGCTCGCAGGACTTGCCACGCTGCTCCTCCGCGTCCCGGGCTGGTCTGCCCCTCCTGTCTCCAGAGTTCCTGCTGACGGGAGTGCTGAAGCAGGAGGTCAGGCCTGAGGCCTTTGTCATCTCCACTCAGGAACAGCCATCCGCTTGAAGATGCCGGGGCACTCCTCCCTCCCGTCCTGGCACACTGCATTAGAATGCGCCAGGGCTTTAGAAGAGCGACTTGTGCTGGACCAGGGTAGGACCAAAGGCTTTCTGGAAAGACAGAGGGCCGGAAAGTTTAGAGCCACAGACGTTCTAAGTGGCCACAACTGCCAGATGTGTGGGCACACACTTATGTTGCCTCCTGGGAGGCTGAGTCGGGAAGACCACAAAGTTGAGTACAGCCCTAAGAGACTTAATGAGGGGCTGGGGAGATAGCTCAGGAGAATAAGCGCAGGAGCCTGAGTTCAATCCCCAGTTCTGCAAAAAACAAAAAGGAGACTTAATGAGACCATGTCTCAAAGTAAAAATACAAGGCTGGGTGTGGTAATGCACACGCACCTGTAACCCCAGCACTCTGGAGGCTGAGGAAGGAGGATCAGTGGGAATTTGAGACCAGCCTGGGCTACAAGGTAAGTTGAAGGCCAGCCTCAACTGCATAGTGAGGGGCTGGTGAGATGGCTCAGTGGTCTAAAGCACCTACTTAGAACAAGCTTAGCAAAGCACAGGGACTGCGGTTCAATCCCCCAGCACCACATGCCAGCCAGCCCGCCCCCTGGTGGGCTGAGCTGGACACACACACACACACACACACACACACACACACACACAAATAAAAAATAAACTGCATAGTGAGACTGTCTCAAAAAGAAAGAAAAAAAAATTTTTTTTAAAGTTTTTGAGACAGGGTCTTAAGTTTGGTTTAGGCATTGGGAGTTTGAGACCAGCCTGGGCTACAAAGTAATTCAAGGCTGGCCTAAACTACATAATTAGACTTTTTTTTTTTTTGCGGAACTGGGGATTGAACTCAGGCCCTTGCACTTGCCAGGGAAGCGCTTATTGTACTGAGCCATCTCCCCGGCCCCAATTAGACTTTTTTTTTAAGTTTTCGAGACAGGGTCTCACTAATTTAGGCCGACCTTGAACTCACTATGTAGCTAGGCTGGCCTCAAGCCTCCAAAGTGCTGGGATTACAGACGTGCACCACCATGAGTAACCTCAATTTTTTTTTTTTTTAATTTATTTATTTGTTCGTTTTGGGTGTGGGGGACTGAACTCAGGACCTTGCCCATGGTAGGCAGGCACTTATGTCACTGAGGTATCTCCCTGGCTTTTTTTTTTTTTTATTATTATTATAAGGGCTTGGATGTAGCTTAATGCAAAGGCCCAAGATTCAGTCCCCAGTATGGCAAAATGAAATGACTATTATTATAAGGTTGGCTAATTCTAGACTGAGGCTGTGGCTCCCAGTAAATCTTACCTAGCACTTAGGATGCCCTGGGCTCTAGCCCAGGCACCACTCAAAAAGAAAAAACGGGTTTGGTTTGCTCTTGGGCTCTGTGAAGCACTGCTTGTCTCCAGCCAGATCGTTGCCCACGGTACCGCTCCCCGGTGCTCCTGGTGCCTGCACTGGACACCCTTTCTCCTCACTGGGGTTTGCACTCAACCTCAAAAGATAGAGCTTGGGCATCAGGAGCCGGAGGGGATGCATGGGAGGCGTAGATGTGAGGGCTATGGGATGCTATGGAAAGGTTCTTTTCCCTCCTACCCACCTGGTTGGAACATCCTTCACCCTTGACATTGAGTAAATTCTCCACACTTCTGACCCATTTCCACAGTATTTATAACATTGAGCTTCAGTGTAACTACTGTCGTAAATAAATATTCACTCTGTGTCTTACAGTGTGGTGCAGTTTTTTGTTTTAATGTCTCATCTTGAGGTACAAACTTGTTTTTGTAAAAAAGTTCTAAAAAATAAAAAACA